CAATATATTAGATCTAATAAGAACGGATATTGCTGAAGTAGTTCAGATGAAATTGTTAAAGGCTTGATGTTTACTGACGATGAAGGATCAGTAGATGAAAGAAGAGGACGCAGCGAACGAATAAATTTTTCGAGTTTCGCGCGAATACCAGGCATAACGAAAAGTGAATAGTTTCCTAAATTGTTTTTGCTTGGAATACTCAAAAATTCTTTGATTGATGTTGTTTGAGTTGATTCGATTTGAAGAATGAAGAAGACATCATCGACTTCAATCAAATCCATTGAAGAATCGATCAGCTGAAATTTAAGTAATTCGACGGCCTCTTTACCACAAAATTCTTCTACCAAGTAGTAAAAAGAATCTCCACGAAGCGACAGTGCATTAACTGGAAGAAGAAAATCCATCTGAAATATAGAATTATTTTTAAAAAATGTTGTACAATAAAAGAGCAGAATAATAAGTTGCCTTTCTAACTTCGAAAAACGTTACAGTTTCTTCTAGTAATGTATTCCTGATAAAATTTCCATCCCAATAGAGTGTTTCATATGTTAAATCCATTAGAAAACCTGAAATTTTTAAACTAAATTTTTGATGTTGATTATAGTCAAGCTTATAATTACCTACAAGATCACAGAAAAATAGAATCTGTTATTAAAGAAGTATTTATATATAAACCTATATCTGCATACGCCATAGAACATTATGAATAAGTGCATTAATAAAAAAAGGAATCATAATGAAATATAAATAATATAGGGTTCTATTACGATCAATAATAATATCTTGTTTCTTTTCTCTAATAGAATGAGAACTGTAAATATGTTGTTCTTTTAATTGATCATACTTTCTACAATAGCTCACTATTGAATTTTCTGTGAACTGATTTCTGACGAATTGAGTTCTTCTATGTTTGAAGAAATTCATAAAGATGGACGCTTGAACTTAGCTTGATACGCATTATAATATTTTACGTTGTATTTGACTGAATACTATTATTTGGTTTAGTTATGAATATGGTTCTTGAATTCGTAAAACTAAAGAGAAACAACAATTTTGTTATTGTCTCAAAGATGGTTGTGATGGAACGACTCACTCGTTCTGAGATTATTTCAATAATGAATAACGATAATATATGAACGCAGTATATATATTCCAGCAGAGAGAAAAACGAGAGAGAATGATTAATGAATAGAACATTAGAACATGACCGATGTGCCCGATCGGGGTCATGAAGAGTAGTGACGGGTAGAATCCGTCACACACCCATCCGCCGCGATACGAGTGCATCGGCACGAGCAAAGACAATGATAGTGATTAAGAAGATAATAGAGTAACGAATTGGAAAAAAAACAAATGACAACTACTTTGATAGCTAGTGAATTAGAAGATGAGAGACAACGTATAACATTGTATGAACTATTATGTGTTCGATTAGATAGATGAGAAAAAATAATAATGCCAGATTGAAACAAATGTAGAAATGAACAACAAACATCATGAAAGAAAGAAAAAAAATGAAATGAAGAGGAGAAAAAACACCAAACGAAATATACGCTCGTACACAATTATTGCTGGTGATCAATATAATTGAAACCGATAGACAGCAAATGAGAAGAATACGCAAAGAGAAGGAAAGTAAAAGTTCGATTGACGATCATTGTATATGAACCGATTATTTGACTATGATAATTCGATCATCTCGGTATTAAAAGCACTTGATAATCCAGGAGATGGTTGATCGTGGTTTGGTGAGAAGACTGTTGCGTGTTCCTGTTGTTGTGTTGATGAGTTGATGGTGTTGAAGGTTGTTGACGATGTATCAAAGCGATGATTGGTGATGTGTTGACTTGTATTAGTGTTTGCTTGTGGTGCTTGACTACAGACTGTGCTGTATAAACGTGGTTTACGTTGAAGAGGTGGTCGACGGTGTGATTGATGATGGGATTTAGTTGAGCATGGGGGAGCATAGAATGACATAAGAGGAATTGGATTAGCAGGAGCATTGTGAAGTGGTGGTTCATTAACGTCAAGTTGTAATGACATAAGTGGTTGTGAAATTATTGTTTCATGAGATAATTGCCGGTTTAATGTTTTGTTTGATTGTGCTGGTGCAGTTATATGTGAGACATGTGATGCCAAAGTATCAGGCGTAGAATTTTCTTTCGATGAGGATATTGTTGATGAGATGGTAGAGGGATTAGTTTCATTGGAAGATGGTAAGAATGAGAAACGATTGACTGTGGTGGCATTTAAGATTGGAGAAAGTGTCCACGCTAGCTGAATGAGTCTAGTAGTGTGGAGTTGGGAGAAGGTGGATTCATTTATTTCTAAAAGAGTTTCAAAAAATAATTCATAAGTTGACGGTCGGAGACAGATAAGAGACCACGTAAGACGTATGACATCATCGGGATCAATATTATTGCGTCTGAGAAAAGCCGAGGATGAAGCAGAATCAAGGAGAGTGACAGTAGACAAGGCGGTCTGAAGCTGCGGATGAAAAGAGAAATGATCTTGGAGCCATTCACGGACTAAATTAAGAGTGGTGTCAATAGAAGGGAGAGAAGAGAAATTTGCTACATGAAAGTTTTTAAGAATGTTCCAAATTGATGCGAGTATCGAGTCATGTTGTTGATAAAAATACGTAGGTGCCATTTTCTGCGAGGAAAGGTAATATTTTATGATTATATATAATATTTTTTTTTTGTTTATGTTTATTTATTTATTGAAGGATTATTATTAGGTGTTATTTAGATGATGTTTCGTGTTATTGATAGAGGGGGTAAGGCTACACGTAAGTCTTGTAACAAGCGTGTTCAATAGCAGCGTCGAATATAACATATAATCGTAATGGCAGCACATATTAAAATGCATCCTAATAGGAGTACGCTAATTACGGATAGGTACATTGGATGAGGAAGAGAGAACGTTGGTTTAGAGGATCTTTTCTCAACAAATTGCATCATTTGTTTTACTACCTGCTCTAGAAGTTTAGTTGTAGACCAGCTATTATTACTCATAATATGGCGATGCACATTAAGAACGGAAACATTATTAAGAAATGAGGTGTTGTTATATAAAATGATTACAGAGGGAGCATGTTGGTTAGTAGCACTATCTGTTAGTGAGGATCCAGGACAAACGATGGTGTGACCAGGTGTTACGTTGATGAGAGCGACTGGTGGAAGAATAAGCTGCTCATTGAGACTTGACACTTGGTGAGAGAGTGGTTGAAGATCGGACTTGCTAACTGTTACACAATGAAATGATTGGAGGGAAGAAGTGATTCAAAGGTTGTCGTGGAGTTGACGAAGAAAGAAAGGGGAAGAAGGAACTGGTTCCATGTGACATCTTGATAAGGGTAATCAGTTGAGAATTTGTCCTAAACAAGAAGTATTTGACATAAAACGAAATGGTGGAGTGTTTCTACAAGTTGTCATTAATCTGAAATCACATCCAAGATCGTCGTGATCATACCATTCGATAGTGATATTATTCGACGGATTGATGGCGAAGTATCTCGGGAGTTTGGTTAACTGGAGAGTTTCATTCTCGTGAAAGAATGGAATGGTGATTAATTTATAAAGGAGAAAGAGAGGTGCATCAGATCGAGGAACTGCGAAGAAAGTAGTAATTACTAATCGTCCAATTTCAGAGAGATTAGGGGTGGAGTAAAGTGTAGTAGGAATGAAGTCGATTTGTTGACGAATAAGCAGGCGGGTAATGATATGTGCTAGTGGTAAAGATCCAAGAGATGGATTAAAAGTTAAATTACCTTGACGAATAATACTATATACGACTGTGTGAAGATCGGATGGAGCTAGAAACGCAAGAGTGAGCTCTGTCTGAGTGCTTGGTACAGAAATGAATGTTGAAATTGTATTTGTAGGAATGAGAGGCGATTTTGTAAGGCATTAATAGTATCTGAATGATTGTCTACTATGGGAATAATAGAGTCAAGGAGTCTTTGAGTCATTTGTAATTGTTCTGTTAATTGAATCTGATTTGACTGAATTGTCACTAGTTGAGCTCCATGAAACTTTGTGGTATCGGATAGATCAGCGAGTGATTTCCCCACAACTGCAACTTCTTTCTGTAGACCTGAGACTTGTATGGCGCTCGAAGCAGACATTCCGAAAGTAATTGCTCCTAAGCCTAAACCGATAATATGAACGGTTACATGACAAGTAGGAATTTTTTCGGCAGCTGAAAGTGGAAGAAAGTGACACATGCTATTAGTCATAGGGAAAATAGCTGAATTGTGAATAATCATTTCAGATGGAGTATAGGAACCAATATAATTTAGGAACAGACCAGATTCAGGATGAGCGATTGTAGTGTTTTTGGAGAATATATTTTCAGAAAACGTATGAAATACAGTGAGCAAGAATATCAGTAAGAAGAAAAGAGTCATTCTGGAGTTATGAAACGTAGTACTTACAACGTGTTGTTTTTCTTTTATTTTTGCTTGTTCGATTTAGACTTATATCCTTTTTTTTTGATTATTTCGGCTTTTTATTGTAACCGTAATATCAGTGAAGAAACAAAAACAATGTGTGATAGTGTAAGGAAGATGAAAAAGTGGATGAATGACCCGCTATGGATAAGTTAGAGAGAGCGAGAGATTTAATTTCTCTTTTTTTTTTTGAATGCAGTGCTTATCCGACTGATAAGTTATATCTAATGATAATAGGATTGTTGAAGGAGAGTGAAGGATGGGGTCAACAATAAATGTACGATTGATCATTGAACTCTTGACAGACAACTACTTAACAGACATATTGCAGATTGATGGGAATATCTGCAGGATTAGAAACATGTTTGACAGTTGAAATATACACAGTGTCTAATGTGATAGATTTGCAATGGATCGAAGCGAAGGTCATTCTTTCTCAGTGTGACCGGATATATAGGAAAGGAAAAGGTTATTTAATGAACATTGCATGAACGGGAGGTCATTGTTATGATATAGATGGTGCTATAGATTCAATCGGTTAGGTCGTCTATGTATTCGAATCGGACGTTGATATAATAGTGGACGGAGAGAGGTCATCATTGTTTGACGGGCGAGAAGGAATCATATTTGTAGCATTGCTTGTATCGATACTCATCAATGGTTGTGGGTGTGTATTTAAAGTTTGATCTGGTGTATTTCGTGTATTGTTGACACGAATATCATTCGGTTCATAAAATGGTTTAAGTCGATCAATGTTGGCGACTCCTAAATTTACTCCGTCAGAGAGACGCTGAATAATAAAAGAAGAGGGAGTAAGAACTTGAGTGATGCGACAAGGACCTTGATACTGAGGATCAAGTTTTCCATGTTTTAATACTGAAGGATTGCTAACCCAAACAAGTTGTCCTTCTTTAAAAGAACGTTTAGAACTATGACTGTCATACTGATGTTTCTGCTGAAGTTTGCATACTTCACTATGTTCTTGAGCAAATTGATGAGATGTAAGTAATTGATGACGAAGTTGTTGTTTATAATTTTCGATTTCTGAGGATAGAGATGTGGGAAGTAGAGGTACATCATGAGTCGGTGTGGTTAGGAGTAGGTGTGGAGGTAATTTAGGATCACGTCCAAAATTAAGATATGCTAGTGTATCACCTGTTGTTCCATTTACTGAAGTTCGAATAGAAAAAGCAAGTTTCGATAGATGTTGATCCCATGATTGTGGATTTTCTTGAGCATATTGTGCTAACATTGGTTTAAGATTTCTATTGACTCGTTCAGTCATATTCGTCTGCGGATGATAATTAGAAGTATTTTTATTTTTAATGCCTAGGGACGAACAGATATTAGTGAATAGTTCAGAAATGAACTGGGGACCATTATCGGAAAGAATATAGGTAGGATAGCCCCAACGACATATAATTTCATTAACTAGGATATTAGCGATATCAGATGAAGTCGTTGTTCTAAGAGGAAATAGTTCTACCCATCGAGTAAAATAGTCAACAACTACCAGTAAGTATTGTTTTTGACGCTGTGTAATAGAAAACGGTCCCATAATATCCACTCCAATAGTATGCCATGGTTCTCGAACGATGTGCATTTGTAATGGAGAGTTCATTATTTGATTAGAATATTTGAATTTCTGACATGACTGACAACTTTGAATATACTGAGTGACATCTTTTCGCATAGTATCCCAGTAGACTCGGCTTGAGAGACGATAAAGAAGGAGTTCTTGTTGCATAGATTTCGGAATAACGAGTAAGTGAGGAAGTCGGACTGATTGTTGATAGATATTTTTTGATGGAGATCGACATTTATAGAGAATACCGTTAATTAGAGTAAAAGAGGGATAGGGATTATTAATGAAGGGATGACTGAGACCTGATAATTTATCAATGATAATATGAAGGTGAGGGTCTTTATATTGTTCGATTCGGATATTTTCGAGGAGAGTACAATTGTCCCAAAAGTTGAGTGTAGATGTAGGTGTTGTTCCATTTAACACAGCTAGATTAGAGAGAGGATAACGAGATAATGAATCAGAGTTTGTATTTGTTTTTCCTGGTTTATATTTGATGCTAACAATGTTAAATGCTGATAGACTTATTGCCCATCGAGCTAATCGTCCAGACGAATCTTTTGTTTCAAGAAGCCATTGTAGTGCCCTACAATCAGATCGAATATAGATTTTTGTACCTTCTAAATAGGGCCGAAAATGTTTGGTGGCCCAATAAATAGCTAGAGCTTCTTTTTCTGTAGGAAAATAATTTCTCTCAGCTGCTGTTTGAGTTCGGCTAGCGTAAGCAATAACAAATTTTTTATTATCATATTCTTGAGTAAGGACAGCACCAAGACCATAATCACAGGCATCTGTTTCCAAAATGAAAGGTTCATTAAAATTTGGAGCTCGAAGTATAGGAGCCTGAGTAAGTGCAGTTTTTAATCGTTCAAAGGTTATAGTACATTCAACAGACCATTCTATGTTATTTGGTGGACGTTTAGATTTTTGATGAGAACGTATTTTAGCGTAATCTTTTATAAATTTTCTGTAGTATCCAGTTAAGCCTAAAAATGATTGAATGTCTTTTAATCGTGTAGGTTGAGGAAAAAGTTTCACGGAGTCGATTAGACCGGGATCAGGTTTAATACCGTCAGGAGTAATAATATGTCCTAAGTACTTTAATTCTTTTCTACAAAAATCACATTTTGAGGCTTTAAGAGTAAGTCCAGCAGTTTTGAGACGATCAAAGACAGAGGATAAATCTTTAAGATGTTGTTCAAAGGTGGAAGAGAATACGACAATATCATCTATATAGACAAGACATGACTGCCATTTTATTCCAGCTAAGATAAGATTCATTAATCTCTGAAATGTGGCAGTAGCATTAGACAGTCCAAAAGGCATGACTAAAAATTCATAGAGGCCGCGATGAGTAATAAACGCTGCTTCCCTGAGTGAATCAAGGGTATCGTCAACTTGAGGCATAGGATATGCTGTACGAATTGTATTAGTATTCAACTTTCGATAATCAACACAATATCTGAGTGTACCATCTTTTTTAGGGGATAATACGATTGGAGATGCCCAAGGACTATGTGAAGGAATAATATGACCAGCTTGGAGCATCTCTTCTAGTTGTTGATCGACTATAGCTTTTTTAGATGGGGGGAGACGATATGGTTGAGTGTTTGCGGATTGTGTTCCTGGTTGAAGTTCGATTACGTGTTTAACAAGATGAGTCCGACCAAGTTTCTCGGTGAAAACTTGTGGACATTGTTTAATAAGTGTAACTAGTTTAGCTTTTTGAATATCGTTTAAGTCAGAATAGAATAAATCAGGGAGACATATTTGTTCTTCTTCAATATGATGAGGTGTATGAGATAATCTTGATATGCTATTCAATTGATGTTCAGTCAATAGTTCCATAACGGCTAGTTTTCGTTGAGGATGAACCTCGATAGAATCATGAGAAAAATTTGAGATTTCAATAAAAAGTGATTTACTTGGTGTGAGATAAGACCATTGCCTACACGAGGATTTTCATGAAGTGAAGAAACGGAATATGTTTCATCTGGAGAAAATTTAGAGAATGGTTTCGTAGGTTGAACAGGGATAATCATAGAGTGGTATGGAGGTAAAGAATGTGCTTCAATAGGTGCTAAAGAGTATGATGACGAATTGGAAGAGGTAAGAGAAGAAGTGTTACACTGATCGAGAGATGGCGATTGAGATGCAAAAGAATTTGTATCTTGTGACTGCTTCGGAAAAATAATTTGATCGTGTGTACCTCCGACATGAATATCATGTTTTCGTAAAAAATCCAAGCCGATGATACAGAAATGTTCAATTCGAAGAGACCGTGTGTACGTAAAGATTGTCCATTAGCACAACGTACTGTTAGGGATGGAGATTTAATAGGGATAAGTTTGCATGACTTTTGCTCGATTTGATGAAATGCCTCAACACTAAGTACAGTTAAATTCGAGCCAGTGTCAATAGTAAATTTTGTTGGATACCCTTCTAATGTACCATTGACATGTAATAGTTGGGAAGAAGAAATGAAAGAATTATGGATAGAACTAATAGAGAGAGAGAGAGAGAGGATTTTTTATTTAGATAATTTTCGGAGCCCCGCTACCTCCCATCAGTAAGACTCCATCTTAGTTTTTTGAATTTGAAGGATATCTGGAAGATTGAGTACGAGTACATTGGGATGCTAAATGTCCTCGAATATTACATTTGTAGTAGATAATATGAGATTGACGAGAATTAGATGTGTGGGAGCGAGTTGACGAATGAAGAGTAACTGAAATAGTAGTATTAGATTTTTCAATATGCACATTTTTTTTGGAACGGGAAAAATCAATAAGTTCAGCTTCTCGGGCTCGCTCAAGAAAATTTTCAAGACTAGGATCGCTAATGCAGGTCGAATTTTAGTAAAAAGGTGTCTAACAAGATGGCGCTCCGTTTCGTTCGGTTTATGTTCTGACCAAAGACTGCGTAAACGAACGAGAAATTCGTTGATTGATTCATCAGGTCGTTGAATGCATCTATTCCATTCTTGCTCGATTTGAGTATACCACTCAAAAGCAGTACCTTTCAAAAATTGGCCCATATTTTGAAGTAACATTTCTTTGTCCCATCCATAAGATGAGTTGGTATATTGATGGAGTTGTAAGAGGAGGAATGGACGTGGTTTTTCTTCAGTTTTGCCTGAAAAAGAAGGAGCTATTGTAGGTTGTTGGATGATGACTGTTTGTCGTGCAGAGAGAGAGAGAGAGAGAGTATGGTGTCTTGTGGATAAGGACCATTTAGTAAAGAATGAGAGTGTATGGAGTTATTAGAAGAAGAGGGAGGTAATGGAGTTGTTGGAGAGGGTATGGATGGGGAAGTACGAACAGCAGCAAGTATTGCACGAATTTCAGCCGTTAATTCGGATATTTGTGTAGAAACATAAGTACGAAAGTCCTGAAATTGAGTATGTAGGTGTTGAATCGTGCCATCTCATTGCTGATATTTTAATTCATGAGCTGTGGAGAGATGATTTACTTTTCTCATTGAAATTCTGTTCGAATTGAGTTACTGTGGACTGTACGGTGGTCAACGTGGTTTCGATAGAAGTTGTGCGTGTTGCTTCAAGTTGTAGTTCATCTCGAAGACTAGTGAGATATTTATGTAATTTCTACCCGTCAGATTCGGTCATAGTTAAAATAGGATCGTGCTAACGTAAGACAGAAAAATAGAAGACTACTAATAATAAGAAAAAAAAACCAAAGAGCAAGATGAAAAATTTCAAAAAAAAGTAATGTGCTGAACTGAAGGGAAAAATGTAACCAAAATTCGATTGGTGTGATCGCCAGGTTGTGATGGAACGACTCACTCGTTCTGAGATTATTTCAATAATGAATAACGATAATATTATGAACGCAGTATATATATTCCAGCAGAGAGAGAAAAACGAGAGAGAATGATTAATGAATAGAACATTAAGAGTAGTGACGGGTAGAATCCGTCAGAATGGTCATATGAAAATAATCGATCTAAAGAACGAGAACAGATTAAAAAAATAATATAAATTTCGAATCGCTTCATTTCAATGTAGATACATGAGGTGGATTGAATTTTCTCTTTGTCTGTTTTTTTTTATTCTACGTATAGTCTAGTTATATAAGAATGAAAAAAAAAGCATTCATTCGTTAGAATATTTTTATTGTCAATTGTATCACATGTTTTCTATATATATATTAGTAGAACAGAGCGAAATATATTCTACGCTATAAGATATAACGAAAATATTCAATGATTGTATGCTAGTATGAATTTTTTGATTTTAATTAAATAATTTCAAAAAAAAAAACCCATAAATAGTGATTGAACAAAAATATCAAGTTTGAGTATATATTTTTTTCGACTGTAAGAATTTTTTTTAAAGCTATATTGATTTAAAATGATTAATGCTGAATTACAATGAGTTAAAAGCTGATTTAAAATGAGTTAAGATGATTTAAGAGATTTAATTTTGAGTTTTTAGCTGACTTAAACCAGTCGATCACCCTCCTTGTTCGTGATCCTTTCAGTAAATTGTAAATATAATCTGTTTTTTTCCAGTGTGTGTGTAGTTCATTTAGATATCTTGTTGAGTATCGATGTGTGGGTATCAGTTTGATGAGACGAATTTATGACAAAAATCCTCACACAGACAGGCATACCATCATGCACAATAAGCTTGATACTAGTATCAGCATCCATACATACGCTTTTTTCAAATGTTGGATAATAGCTTGGTTGAGAGCTACAAAGAAGTATAAAATAGCAAACGAACCAAATACTTAATCGAGAATAAAGCGAGTTTACATGGACGAATGTTGCATGTTTCTCGCATTTACAATTTGATGAGATAATTGCAAATGAAAGTAAAACAAGAAATATGTCATATATAATTCGCAGAATAATGTTTGAAAAATTCGAGAGACTTTTTCATCGAACAGCAATATTTACCTTGAGATTATTTCTATTGATAATTTTATCATGAAGAAGATCAATTAGGCAAAATACTTCTTGTAATCTTATTTAGTAATTACAGATTGAACTGATTAACAACATTAATTTAATAAAAGACATGCTTCCAAGAAAGAGATGATCCGTAACATATCCAAAAACTAGTTTGATCATTACATGACTTATATCCCTGAATTACTTGAAAAATCATAGACAAAAACCCACATTTCTCATTCAATGTCTTCACCTTTCTCATACATCTCTAACATAGTAAACATAAACAAAAAAAAAGAGTTAACAAAATAATTGTTGTTAATAAAGTTGAGAACTTGACTCAAAAAGAATTCTCATCTTGTAACAAAATTCGATTTCTGTGAAGAGAAACTTTCCCTCTC